CTTTTTATTTCTGCAGAAGATTTGGCATCAGATGTTATCATATATCCTAGATATTTAAACTGTTGGACTTGTTTGATCTTTTCACTTAATTGTAAGAAGGAGCCAAGAAGTAGCAGTAGAAAGGCTGCAGAAAGAGTCAGGAGCCCAGAGGAGCGGGCAAAGGAGGTGAGGGGGTACGGCAGAAAGTAGAGACGAAGGCAGACGACAGAACATTACGAGAGAACAGGATAAGAGGTGAAAGGAGACAATTTTAGAGAAGAAAATGTTTCCGTCACTATCCGGATTCGAACCCGGGACCTTTGAATGAGAGGCGAACACTTTAACCTCTAAAGCCACGAGCGCCCCCTGTCTACGTTTGTTATACTGTGTACACAATAGTCTTTGACCGCTGCGTACATCAAATGGAGAAATTTCGGGAACTTGATGGTTTCTACGTTGAATAGTTATTTGAATAAGCTTTCTTTTGATACCACATACAAGGTGATTTATAATTATATGTGAGGACACCATGACTGGGAAACTTTATTCTGAGACAGACCTCGTAACTTCACAATTTTGTGACATTTTGAGTCCACCCGCCTCTTAAATCACCAACATTTTATCGATAAGGTGAGGAAAGGGAAGGGGGGGGGGAGTTATTCCATAAAACAAAAAGTATCAGAAAGTGTGAAAAAAGCTTACACCTCATCGACACAGAGTGCATCATTCAGGGAGAGTATGTCTTGCTACCATCATTCATTTGTCTACATCATCCTAGCAGAAAGACGGAGGTAGTTGACTAATTCCCGATGACTTTTTTTTCATGTAATTACCGTGGCACATTGACGATCAGATTTATGGATTGAGTCCGGGCCAGTCAAATTAAAATAAACGCATTTGATTTTGACAATCACTGTCAAGTTCAGTTGAATTCAATTGTACTGGTCCAAAATTATAGCTTTTGCCACATCCATGAAGGAAAATCTGGTTGGCCTCGACTCAGTCCGATGAAACTGACTGGCAATGTGCTCTAGATATTAGGCTAAGAACCAAGCATTGCACCACCCAAAACATAACATGCCTATATGGACGACTTCTTAATCCTGAAGGTCATTTGTCCAAGAGACAAACCTTTCATGGATAGTTGTACCGGTTGACAGTGAATTGTTTGCAATTGTATTATACCTACAGTTCCAGATTCGACGACCGTGAGAAAAGAATTAATAACTTCGCTAATTTTGCGCGGATGTGTACTAGACTCGAGAGGAATCATGTTTGATCACCCGGACAGCAAAATCTGTGCTCAAATTTGAATTGGTCACACGAGTACCGCTGCATCATCTAAGTCTTGGAGTAACCCAGAAAATGCGTTTTCATTACTAAGTACTTGAATTCAAGTCCGAAAAGCAACCTCAAGCCTGGTTGTTTTTTGTTGTTTGTTTTGTTGTTGTTGTTGTGTGTGGTAGCCTATGCGTTCGAAATGTTTAGAGCCCCGAAGTGCGTGCTTCGCCAGGGCCACCACCTCTCTTGGGTAGCGGGTGAGGCAGTCCAACCTTCTTGAATCCTCCCCAAAGAGATGCCACCGCCAGACCTCCATG